GTATTTCAGATTGGAATATTAGGAATTGCATTTGGAATGGATGTCCACGCCAATAGGAATTAATAATTTATTGTTGAGGGCACTGTATAGGTAGCATGTTAGTTAATTTGGATTACATTTTTTAAGTAAGAATGGATCAATGAATATTAGTGAAGGCAGTAATATAGTACTTGAATTATTGGATTGATCCAGTCTTGTAAAAAATACATAAATAAATAATGTGAGTGTCTTTAATGAAGTATCCCACTAAGCTACCATTTTTCATTCCAGCTGGTGCTAAAATGAAAAAGTCTGGGTTCCCAGGATGTGCACTGCCACCTCTCACCTATGGACCCAGACTGTTTACTGCGCCCGAGGCGGACGTGGGCCCGGACGGATGGGCCCCGAGATCTAGAGGCTGGAGAACTGAGTTAGCTCCTAACTGTGGGCTTTTAACTCTGCAAAGCAGAATCTGACCTGCGGTATGTGGGTGGAAGGGGCATTGAGCCACCCATCCAAAGTCCTTTGTAGAAACAGACTCTGAGATTCAAATTGTATATAATCTCCACATGTCACAAAACATTCTTCTTTTGATTGGAAACACTTCCTGTAGCTCACAGGACCCACAAAGTCAGCGGACGGGCAGACGTGGCCTACAGGCCGCAGTTCACCCCGCCCGTCTTACAGGCCGGGTTCTAATGGTGAAGTCCGGGTGAGGCTACAGAAGGAGGGTTTTCGTTCCGTTGTTTTCCAAAGGGAGAGATTGTGGAAGGCTGAGGTAGTCAGCGGGTCCTTCACAGAGAAAGAAGGGGAGACTGGAGGGGACGCTCCACCCACGGCCGCCCAGGAATAAGCGTAGAAGGGAAGGCTTGGCAGCCCGCGCTCTTTGGCACATGTGTGTTGTGAGTCCGCACTTTTTCATGTCGGATTTTTCCAGAGGGTGGGGGCACACCTGTGTTCTTTGTTCTGTTTCTTATTGAATTCTGAGAGGTATGGTGAGAGCCTGGTGGAAAGATCTGTAATTCGGCCAAAATGCCAAACGGCTTGGTAGTTCACCTAAGTGATTCAGTGCAGAGAAGAAGTAAAGGAAACCACTCGGTCGGTTTTAGTTGAACGTGTTACCGAGACTCCTAAGGCTGAAGGGGGCCTGTTTCCATCTCCAGCCCAGTTCCCACAGACTCTCCCAGCACCAGGGGCTATGCTGGGCACTGCGGCACAAACACTAGGGAGATGGCAACTCCGTCCTCAGAGCGCTCACCATTCAGGGTGGGATCCCAGACCGGAAAGAAGTGTATGGTAGGACAGGTGAGAGCAGAGGCCGTGTGTAAGGAAGTGGTTCTTACCTTTGCCTTCACATTGGAATCCTGTGGAAGGGAGCTTTTAAAAATTCTGATGCCTGGGTCCCGCCCTCTGAGAGTCTTATTTATTTGGCCTTGGGTGTGACCTGGGCTTCTGGTTTTTCTTAAAAGCTCCCCAAATTATCCCAATGTGCAGTCAAGATACAAAACCTCCAGTATAAGGGTGATGAGGCACAAAAGAGAGGACTCAGCTGTCCTAAGGGAAGAGCCACGGTAACTCTTGATGAGTGGGGCTTGTAGAACAAAAGAGCAGCGGGCCTGCAAACCAAAGCATCACCGGTTCGATTCCCAGTCAGGGCACATGCCTGGGTTGCAGACCAGGTCCCTGGAGAGGGGCCCCAAGAGATAACCACACATTGATGTTTCTCTCTCTCTCTTTCTCCCTCCCTTCCCCTCTCTAAAAATAAATAAAATACTTGAAAAAAAAGAAAAAACAGAGCAGACCGCATGTGAAAACTCACTGTCATGAGAAGGGAAGGAAAATGCAACAAGCAGGACATCTGACACCCAAAGAACCACCACAAAACAGAGAGCCCTGGGAAGGGAGCTCGACAACTGCTGTTTTTAAATGTTCAAAGAGGTGAAGGAATAGAATCCATAGTACAAGAACAGGACATTCTCAGGTAGATCTGTAAAAGAACAAAACAGAAAACACAGCAATGAAATGTCAACTGAAAAATTTTCAAAAAGCAATGGGTGAGTTAAATCACAGCGCACGTCCTGGAGAGAGATTTCCTGAATTAAAAAGCAAAAAAAAAAAACAAAAAAAACTAAATGCTTTAATTAACTCAAGCAGTAGCCATTCAGACCAAAATATATTGACTTTTATCTTGTTTAATCTGTATCTCAATGTTTCCTTTGACAGGCTAAAAGGGGCTGGGAAAACTTTCAATTGTTTACGGTGTCCGAGGTTAGTTTTAGCAAAAGTTCTGAAGGATCATGGAATTCAAAACTTTGAAAAAAAGTAGGAGGTGAGCAAGCAGAGCCGCTCAGTCAGTGCAGGCCACGTGTTTGATGACTGTGTCTGTGAAGGAAGCAGAGGGGCGTCACCAGAGAGACATGCTGGGTCATGGGAGAGGTCCATTCACTCGTTCATTCGTTTTTGAGAAAACAACCCCAGGGGTGGAGAATACAGAGAGAGATGTAGTCGTCCTCTGGTGTCTGCAGGGAACATGCTTTAAGGCCCGCAGTGGATGCCTGACGCCGTGGGTAGTACCCGACCCAGAATGCGCTGTTTCTTCCTGCACACGTGTACCTACGATGAAGTTTCATTTATAAATTCGGCACAGTAAGAGATTAACAACAAGTAACGACACAACAGGACAGTATAGCCCAAACCTACTCTTGAGTCTGTGGAACAGTTGTCACTGGCGATAATGACCTGGTGTCACTCATTTCAGGGGACCCCTCATGGAAGTCTTCTTACAGGCTCGATGCTTTCCGGCACAGTGCGCTGTCAGTCAGAACACGCTTTCTGTTCACGCTTGCCTCCCGCAAATTTCATGTCTCTTCCACCTTAACTAAGCACCTGTCATGTACTGTAGCCATACCTGTTACAGATTGAGGTGTGACAGCAAAACTGGCATAAATTTTTTTTTCTTTGTTTGCCATTTCATAGTTAGAAGAGTTCTTCTTACTGCAGATCTTAGCAACCTTAACATATTTTTTTCCCTTTCATTACTAAGTTGAGAACTTCCTTTATACTTAGAGGAAGTACTTAATGGTTTCTCTCTGGCATATCTGAATTGCCAACATCTCTTCTCTTGCACTTTAGGGCACTTATTAGGTAAAACCAGGGTCATTGTGCAGAAGCACAGTGAAACCCAGACAGTCGATCTGACAGTGAAGACAGCTCTCGGTGACCAGTGGGTGGGAGTGTCTGCAGTGCGGGGACGCCGGGCAGAGGGACGAGTCACATCGTGCCACTCAGAACAGTGTGTGGTTTTTAAACTTATGAATTATTTATTTCTGGCATTTCCATTTAATGTTTTCAGACCACTGTTGACTGCAGGTAACTGGAACCACGGAAAGCTAACCTATGGCTAAGGGGAGACTATTATATAAAGGAAAATAAGGGGATAATCAGGGGGAGAAATGATCCCCAAAAGCCTTGGTGGAGAGGTAACTGGAAGGGACTGAGGATGAAACAGATTCAAACCTACTTCTGTGGGGGGTCGAAGGTGGAATGTTTGAAAGTGATAGGGTCCCCTCCTTTCTCTGTCACATAGGAATAAGGGGGGTAAGCAATGAGGAGATAAATTAAGGGCAAAGATTTTAGAAATGGCCATTGCGGGACATGCAAGAGGAAGTTGGTCAGAGATGGGTAAAAAGCAGGCGGAGAGCGTGGAGGGTCCACCAGCACTGTTCATCGCAAACGCGAGGCTGTGCCATTCCGCACCACCGCACCCAGCGCCCCAAGTATAACGGTGTAAAAGTTAGATGGTGGGACTGGTCGCTAAGTACTTCAGAATGATGCAGGAAAATAACAAGGAAAAAAGGGAATCAAAGGTACAAGTGTGAGTAATTTGAGAGTCTGTTTTCCTATCACCAACTGCAGTTACTGTTAGAAAACTTGGCTTATAGTGAGAAGAAATCTAGAAATCGACCATGGTTCTCTTATGACTTTAGCGCATTTTCAGAGAACTGGGCAGTATTGCCTCCTACAACATGAGACAGGTTACCCCGAGTTAGGTTGTCCTGAGTCGAGGTTTTCAGCTTCAGCCTCCTGTCCATGAACGTTAAACCTCCTCCTGGGGAAGGGAGCTTTCATCACACGTGCACACACGTGCAGCGCACATGCACAGTGCCGTAGAGCTGCAGAACGCCCGCCCGTATAACCCCCGTCCCCGAGTCAGTCCCGCCTGTGCTGGAGCCTCATCAGCTTCAGGGGGAGCCAGCTCATTAGCACTCCCTTCGTAACTGTCACTTCTGTCACCTGGAATTGCTGAAGATTTTTAGAACATTCAAATTGGCTAGAGGGACAGAAATGGTGACTAGAAAGAGCAGCTTTTTAATCCCGTTGGAATCGAACATTTCAGGTGCCTGCACGGGTACTTTCTGGTCAGAGCAGGGGTCATGGCTGACCCACGGGCCCTCTCAGCGGACTTGGAGCCTGTCCGCTGTAGGTCACTGGTCCCAGGCACTGCAGAGAGCAGTCCTCAAAGACTCTCTGCCTGACATCAGGGCCAGAGGGTTCCTCTGTGATGGCAGCTTTGCTTTGAATACCGAGGTGTCCATAGTTCAAAAAGTAACTTCAAATAGAACGAATTGGTCATTTAAACCAAGAAGTCAAAGGACAACCCATTGTAATGCTCCGTCACCCTTCAGGGACTGTTTATGTTGCATTTAGTAATAGCATTCTATTATACGGTTACTCCACCTTATTTGTTTAATATCTTTCTTCAAAGATCCCTCCAAAACCTAGCACACACTTTTGTTAGCTTTCATGATTACTCAGCAATGAAGAATCTAAGAATGAAATCTTGAAATGATTGTCCCAGTAATGTGGCCTGTTGTGTGTCGCTGCCCCCAACCCAGATAATGGGTCATGCTAACAAGAGGGAGGGGCAAGGTGTCTTCTCTGGGTAGCAGACGTAGATGAAGAGCGCCGACCAGAGGTTACGCAACGTGCTGACGCATCTCTCTTCTGCCGGTTGTGTTTAGGGGCATTGCCCAGTCGGAAGAGAAGCTTGTCATCAGTGCATCTTGGGCAAAAGACGATGATATCAGCAGACTCCTGAAATCTCTGCCAAACTGGATGAATATGGCTCAACCCAAACAGCTCAGGCCAAAAAGAGAAGATGAAGAAGACCTCATAAGGTAAAAAGTTCATCTTCTAAGTTGTACTAAACATGAGGAGGAAAAACATCTGTTTAGCTAATTCTTTCTTATGTGAAATTTTGGCCAATTATAGGTGTCAAGTAGCAATTAACTGGACTTTGTGAAGTCTGTTTTCGTCCTAGGGTACCTCATTTCCCTGCAAGTGTGCATTTTGCTCAAAACTTTAGAAGGCAGAAAATGATAGGAATCAAGTTTGGAGCGAGCTAGACTCAGTTAAAATTCCTTTCAGCTCTGGCCAGTGTGACTCAGATGGTTGGATCATCGTCCCATAGACCAAAAGTTCACCAGTTCAATTCCTGGTCAGGGCACATACCCAGGTTGCAAGTTCAATCCCCAGTCAGGGTGCATATGAGAAGGCAATCAATTGATGCTTCTCTCTCACATCTGTGTTTCTCTCTCTTTAATTCTATCCCCCTTCCTCTCTCTCTAAAAGTAATGAGAAAAAGTCCTCAGGTGAAGAAATGTATATGTATGTGTATATGTATATATGTATATATTATATACATATGTATGTGTGTGTGTAATCTCTTTCAATTTGTAGTTGGATCAGTTGGTCGATTCTCCCCTCCTAGCAGACAAATACAATTTGTTCATCCATTCACTCACTTATTCAGCAAAGCTGTTTGACCTTGTTATGTACGGTGCCTTGGAAATATGATGATTAATAAGAATTAAGTTTGTGCCCATACAGAGTGTGTTGCAGTTGTCCTTAGTGTGTCCTTCCATTCACAGACCCATCAGTTGAACTTCCCAGAAAAACAAATGTGCTTCCATGTCTGTTCATATTTTTTGTATTACCTCTGACTGTTTTATGCTTGTTTCGACAATAATAAGGTCTCTCTTTCAGCTTTATCACTCCGTGTTTACCTGTGTGCAGTGTAAATGATTTACTTAGGGACCAATTCGGTGATGCTGCGCACTTTCACGTGCCGGGCTTGCCGCAGTGACACGTTCCCCCGCTTTGTAGAGGGGGGGAATAAATGGGGGTAGTTCATCGTCACATTAAAATCAAGCTTATTCTCACAGTTTTTTGCCTATCCAAGTAAATAAATAAATAGTACAAATAAAATAAAATAATAAAATAAAATAAAATAAAATAAAATAAAATAAGCACTTTAAAGAGGCAAAGACCAGAAAGGGAATAAAGAAGTAATGGCCAATACCTTACTTTCAATTTACCGTCAAACTGCTGTGGGCTCTTCTCTTTCTCAGAACGTAGGCTGCAAGTATCGATGACTTTGGGTTGCTCCCGCAGTGAACCATCTGTATATGCCATACTTTACCAACATTTCTTTTCTCTTAAATGATTTTAGAGAGAGAGGGAGGGAGGGAGGGAGGGAGGGGGACAGGGGAGAGGCACAGACAGACAGAGGGACATTGATTTGTTGTTCCACTCATTTGTGCATCATTGGTTGGTTCTTGTATGTGCCCCGACCAGGATCAAACCCACAACCTTGGCGTGTCAGCAATGGAGCTCTGTCCAGCTGAGTGACCCTGCCAGGCTTCCACCAACGTTTCATTATGGAAATTTGCTATGGTGCCATTTAAAACTTTCTTAAATCGTGACACTCAAAAATTCACCAGTAATTTAACCTAAAGCCTTCCTACTTATGTTTTTCTTTCTCGTTATTCATATTTTCCTAGAGAAACTTGTCAACTAGTTACTTTGATATAAAAAAACTATATATTATAGTTTACTTTTCAAATTAATAGACTTTATTTTGGGAGAAGCAATTTTAGGTTTATAAAAAATTTATCTAAAACCACACATTTCCCATATATCCCCTCACCCACTCCTGGATTTCCTGTTTTTAACATTACTGTGGTTCGGGTGTTAGAGTTGATAAGCGATGAGTATTGACTAAAGTCTGTAGTTCACATTGGGGTCCACTCTTTTTGTTGTACACTCCATGGGTTTTGACAAATGTGTAAGAATCTTATCCACCACTACCGTGTCAGTCAAAACAATAGTTTTGCTGCCCTCAAATCCCTCTGTGTTTCTCCTAGTCTTCCCTCCCTTCCTCTCCCTGGACCCCTGGCAGTCACTGACTTTTATTGTTTTTTTTTCACTATCTGCATAGTTTCGTCTTTTCCAGAGTGTTATTAAATTGGAATCATACAATATATAGCCTCTTCAGATTGTCTTCTTCTGCTTTGCAGTGTGCACTAAAGTTTCCTCCATGGCTTTTGGTGACTTGATCTTTTTTTTAAGTTTCTGAATAATGTTTCATTGTATAGATGTACCATAGTTCATTTATCCGTTCTCCTGTTGATAAAGTTGCTATAAACATTCACGTGCAGGTTTTTGTGTGGGTCTGCGTTTCAATGCACTTGGGTAAATACCAAGAAACACAATCGCTAGGTCTTACGGTAAGAGTATGTTTAGTTTTGTAAGAAACTGCCACAGTGTCTTCAAAGCGGCGGCACTGTGGTGCGTTCCCACTTGCAGTGACGGAGAGTTTTTGTTGCTGCACATCCTCGATAGCATCTGGTGTCGTCAGTGTTCTGGACTTGGTCCGTTCTAGTAGGTGTGCTGTGGTGCCTCTTTAATTTTGGTTTTCATAATGACATATGTTGAGCATCTTTGCATATGCCTATATTATATCTGTGTGTGTGTGTGTGTGTGTGTGTGTGTGTGTGTGTTTTAGGTGAGATATCTGTTCAGATCCTCTGGCCCTTTTTTAACCAGCTTGTATGTTTTATTGCTTTTGAGTTTTAAGAATTCTTTGTATATGTTAGTGGTGGTCTTGGGCCACCTTTAGACTAATCCAAGTCCACTTTCAAATACCACTATACCACGTCCTGGGGAGTGCATGTACCTTAGGACGGTCTTCCCCGCTCCTCCCCCCATTCCCTGTGACGTTGCTCATTCATTGCGTTTGTCCATAAGCTCTCATCACTGCATACAGTATCGTTACTATTTTGAACAAACAAACTGTTACCTGTTGATCAGTTAACAGTCAGAGAATTTTCCCTTATTTTTTTCTTCTGTCATGCTCTCTCTTTCATAATATAGGTCCACATTTCTGACCAATATCATTTTCCTTTTCCCTGAAGAAGTTCTTTTAACATTTCTTATGAGACAGGTCTGCTGGTGACAGATGCTTTTGATTTTTGTTTGTCAGAGAAAGGCTTTATTTGTCCCTCACTTTTAAAGAATAATTTCTAGGTTGGTGATTCTTTTCTTTTAATATCTTAAATATTTCACATCAGTCTTCTTACTTCCATAGTTTTTGAAGGGAAGTCCAATGTAATTTTTAGTCTTATTCTTCTTTAGTTAAGGTGATTTTTTCCTGTGGCTTCTTTCAAGGTTTTTTTGTTTGCTTGTTTTGATTTTGTGCCATTCGAATAATATATGCCTAGATGTATATTTTTTGGTGTTTTTCATGTTCGGTGTTCTCTGAGCTTCCCAGATCTACAGATGATATCATTGGTTTGGGGAAATTCTCAATCATTGTTGCTTCGGTACCAATTATGGGTTTTTTTCTTCCTTCTCCTTCTGGTATTCACATTACACCTTTTGTAAGTTTTCACAGTTCTTGGATATTTTGCTCTGTCTCTTCACTCTTTTTTTTTCTCTTTGGATTTCATATTCAAAGTTTCTATTGACAATTCTTCAAGCTCACTAATTCTTTCCTTGGTTATGTCCAGACTACTGATGAACCAAAGGCATTCCTCATTTCTGTCAGGGTGTTTTTGATTGCTGGCATTTTCAGAGTTTCCATCTCTTTGCTCATGTTACCCATAGTTTACTTTTTATTGAATATCTAGTACATATGTGCATGTATCAAAGACACAACTCAGTAAATTTTCACACTTTTTATCATGTAACCAGTATCTAGATCAAGAAACAAAATAATACTGCCAAGGAACCTTTTTATGTTTCCTTCCGGTCACTACTTGCCTCTCCAGTATCTAAGTTCTAAGCACATAGATTACTGCACTCTGTTTTTGGATTCTGCGTAAAAGGAATCATGCAGTTATGCATTTTCTCATGACTGGCTCCATTTGTTTCATGTAATATTGGTGAGATTCATCAATATTGTTATGTATAAGGTCTTATTACTCTATAGACTATATTGTATGCCATTATGTGAATACACCACATTTTTTTATGTTTTATTATTTGTATAAGTATGTATATGTATTTATTCATTCATTCTACAGCTTATGGGCACCTGGGTAGTTTCTAGTTTGGAACTATTTTTGTATAGTGCTGAAATGAGTATTCTCTGTGTCTTTTGGCAACCATATGTAAACATTTCTGTTGGTTATGTTATATAAGTAGGATTGCTGGTTCATAGGCTATGCATATGTTAGTTTTAGTACACACTGCCAAACAGCTCTCCAGAGTGGTGGCAAGAGTTTGTATTCTCATAGTAGTGTATGAGCAACCTATATTTGATCCACAGCTCATCTATACTCGATGTTTTCCATCTTTTTAATTGTAGTTGTATAGTAGGTTTATAGAGATATCTCTTGTTGGTTTAACATGCATTTCTCTCATGATTAAGGAAGTTGAGCACCTTTTAATTTAATGTATTTTTATTTTACACCTTTTAATGTATTTTTATTTATTTACTGGCCATTTGAATATCTTATAATGTATTTGTTCAAATCTATTACTCATTTTTAATTAGGTTGTCTGTATTTTCTCTACTGATTTGTGGGAGTTCTTTTATTTTTATCCTCACCCAAGAATATGCTTATTGATTTTAGAAAGATGAGAAGGGAGAGAGAAACATTGATGTGAGGGAGAAACATCAGTCGGGTACCTCCCATTCAAGTCCTGATGTGATCAAACCCACAACCTAGGAAAGTGCCCTGATGGGGGGTCGAACCCACAGCCTTGTTGGTGTACAGGATGGCACTCCACCCAGCTGAGCCACCTGGTCAGGGATGTAGGGATCCTTTAGCTGGATATACCTTTTTTTATGACAGATCCATAGATATATACATACATACATACATACATACAT